TAATCATTCTTCCCAGCTATCCCTATTCGCTGACTCCTACTAACTATCAATTAGTACACCAAGCCCTCAAAAAAATCCATTCGCCGTTCACCTTGAAGACACTTCAATTTGACAGTTATTACTGGTATTTCGCTGCATTTGCCGTCTTGACCTCTTTGTTTCAGTCCTGATAAAAACATGGATATCAGTGCCTTATCAGCAAGGCCTTCACTCAGATAAACACCGATTGCTTCCATCCCACCGCATCATAACTGCTCACACGCGAAAATGGGTTTGATCATACGCGCGTAAAATCGATACCAATCAGTCAACCTCAATCTCTCAAAGGCATCAATGCTATCAGTTGAAGGGCGCAAACAGTTTACTGCGGGCACGGTTGCAAACATTACTGCCAGCACGGCTACACGGTCGTGTAGAGTACCGATAGTGATGACTATACAAATTTTTGAAGTTGTCCGTTGAAATGCACCCAAAACGGCCTCTATCGCATGTAACGAGACCCTACAAACAAGTCCCACAGATTTCTGGTGAAAAACTTGATGCTACGTCAGTATCTAACAATTTCGCTCAGTATAACCGCACCTTCAGATTGGAACTTCCCAGACTTTTTCTCAGTAAAACGGCAAAATGGAAGATTCAGGTAAAAGGAGTTACCGTGGGGTTTTGCACGAAAGATGTGTGCGAATATGGATTGATGAATGCTTGACTGGCCATCTGCAACTATTGGTGTTGGGTAGGTGGATCAGATACGGCAGCAATGTCACATTCACCCAATCTGTCAACATTCGACAAGACTAGAAGACTATGAAGCTTCAACTCACTGTGGGCGATGCTTTCAGAGCGACAACAACCACCAACTGCAGTCGAGTAACTGTTGGATAATGAACCTCACTCAAGGTGGGGATGTTTTGAGCCCATTATCTGCCTTTCTGAGAGATAATGAGGGATCACTACTACGAAGGAATACCTAAACTCAGATTGGCCTACGGGATGGACAGGGGATGCAGCATTGCCTGGTCACCGTCAAAGATGGAAACCTATTGTGCACTGCATCTCGTTGCTTATCGTCTGAGAGATGAAGGCATTGACTTGTACAGCACCAACTCCCCACCCGCTTGACTAAAAAGAAGCAAAGGAAGCCTAAATCTCTAACATCGACCAAGTCTGCAAGTTCCTGAACAACTCTCACAAAAGGAAGAAGAAGCCTGACTAATAATCTCTGCTCATACTTAGATATGAGCACAAACGAAGGTTCAAATACAAAAAATACCAGAATTTATCGACACGTACAAAGAGATCAGAATTGCACTGCGTAGAAACCAAAATACCGCTGAGGTAGGTAAAGGCATTGAACAAAATGACTACTTTCCAGTGGATCCAAATCCACCTTCGCCACGAGCGGTACCGGTCAAACTCGTACATTCCTCATATTTGCAATGCGCAATACGCTCACAAATGAACTGAGCAATTCGATCCCCTTTTTTGACCTAAAACAATCACTTTAAAGAATATGAATGGTACAAACAACTTGAGCTTTGACAGTACCTCGAAGTCAGTGGGTCCAAAATTGAAAAGCAGGACTTTCAATTCCCCACGGTAGTCGCTATCCACAACGCCTGCACCAACGTCGATAAAATTCTTCGCTGCTAAACCGGAACGAGGCGCGACTCTTCCGTAATATCCGAATGGAAGCTCAACTTGTAGACCAGTAGATACACAGAATTTACCTGAAAAACGAGTCCATCTTGGATGGGTGGATTCTAACTCCACTGATACTTTGACCAAACTGTCTCAACAAATTGAATATTTCGATTGTTTATGTTAAACGGGTTCCTCCAGATAGGGGAAGGGTATGTCCCGTACTACAGTAAATCCGCTTGCTATCGGTGGTAACAACAGCGTTGCCAGAGAACCCCCTCTTCGTAACAATTGGCTGAAGTCGTTTCTCACCAGCTTCATAAGGGCTTTAACTCATTGAAATGACGAAATTGAGTGAAAACTCCTTTAATTCATATTTGAGAAACAGAAATAGGCATTCTTGGAAAAAGCAATGGTTTTCTTTAAATCTCTCATCAGAGGACACAAAGTAGGGTAAGTCCCCAAGTTTGAATTGACGCGGAGAAAAACTACCCCCACACGCACAAACAGATCTTGTAGTCTGACATATCTCTGAACATTATCGGTTGTGCTTAGCAAGTAGCTCTTTTTCATCTCCACCATCTCATCTCCCAGTGCTGTGGATTGGGACAGTTGATCTTACTTATTACGCCTTAAATGGATGGGGGGCCTACTAAAGCGGCATGAAGCTAAGTGTGATATGATCACAGACATTTTGTTTGGCTCCTTTTCAAAGCAACAGTTCAATGAATGGAATAGAGGAGTAACAAAACTGAGGGCAATGGGCTCACCATGTGCTGGAACAACACAGTTTTCAGCACTAAAAAGATCTGCTCCGGCAGCAGCAGCAGAACCATAGAGGGGAGTCTTTGCATCTGGGTTCAGTTTTACAAAGCGAATAGTGAGAAGCTGAATAAAGGCTATTGAGGGACAGTAACTATAAATCAACAATAAACAGCTACACCTACCTGATCCTCCATAAGAGACTTTTTCAATTCAACCGTGGCATCTCCAGCACTGAGGTTCCCATTCCTCTGACATAAGACATCCATTCTTGGGCGCAATAGACTAGAACGTAAAAATCGTAAATATTGCCATCTTCTGGGTAGATGCAACATCTTTCATCTACAAAAAAGGCTACAAACAAATGTATGAGAGAATATTACAAAACGAGATGAATCGTTCGCTTCAACAGAAACATGACAGTTACAACTGATTGAGTGACGAAAAGGGGAAGAAGAACCTATAAGAACCTTTACGAAAGTTGTTGTAGTGGCCAAGTTGTCCCTTCCTACGTAGGCATTTTCAAACGTAGAAACATCTTTTGCAAGATCCCAAATCCTTTATGTCTAATCCGGGCTTTGCCTCCCCAACATAGAGTCATACTCCCAAACCCTGGGACAGTAGTAAAAGGTTTTCTCTCCCCCTTTTCTAATAGGAGGCCCCCGAACAATTCTAAATTCATGGACTTGGAAGCAGATTTCAAAACCAGTAGTGAGTGCCAAGAGGTAAGCACCCAACATGACGCGCTTTTGCAGAATGTACGCGATGTTACGTGACACGTCAGAACCTCCTGCTGAAAGAAAGTTAGGGTGTTTTCCCACTCAGCTTTTCTTCATAAACGGCGGCCAGTCTTTCTATCATTTGCTGACGTCAACATGGTCAGGTTTATCTCTGAATTTTGCGATAGTAAAGCATAGTCGATCATTTATTCACCCTTTGAGCTTCCTATGTATTTGCAGAAAACGAAACAGCTCGATTGTCTGGCATTCTGCTTCAATAATAACTTCTAATTGTGCTGAAAACGAAAAGTTTTTTGTCAACCATGTCTCAAATTTGCATTCTATCTTTTCGAAAAGCACTGATTAACATTTGAATGCTTTCTCGCGTTTCGCTCGTAGAAACGTTGATGTTTATCAATCGTTCTGTACCAGTGTCAGGATCGGAATCTGTTTCTACACCATTCTGGAGAAGTTCTCAGGCCGTTGTGATTGCCGAAGTCTTCATTCATCAACAAGATGATGAACTTTGAAGTTAGCAGTACCAAACGTAAGTTGCTAACTTTATTTTCATTGTTTCTTTATACTTTTTATATTCTTTCAGAAATTGGTGTTGGTCTCACCGCTTTCGGTGTATTTTTCATTTTTCTTGGTGTACTTATGTTCCTCGATGCAGCCTTGCTAGCTATAGGGAACGTATGTTTTGAACTTTTCCTGTTTTTTCCTTTGTGATCCTTAAGGGTTTTTTCAACAGCTTTTCATGGATAATAATCGCTGTTTTGATTCATGGTTTGCAATGATTATGGTTAGTGATGTAATAGGTGGTACTATTATTTTCTAAATTTCAGCTTCTCTTCATCGTTGGAATAACGTTTGTGATAGGAATTCAACGAACCCTTGTATTCTTTTTTGAGATTCGGAAGCTCAAGGGAAGCATTCTTTTCTTTGGAGGTAAGTTGCTAATTGAAAAGTATCCTTTATATGAGTCTTTTCATCTACTTTTTTGTTCATGTGTCCCATTGCTAAGACTATTCGCAGATCTTCTTGTCAAAATTAAACACCTTTTTATGTGGTTCTTCAGGTATTTTCATAGTTCTGTTTGGTTGGCCTCTTGTTGGAATCATCTTGGAGTTCTGGGGATTCGTTCTGCTCTTTGGGTATGTTCTTCTTATTTGTTAATTTTTGTTTTGTTCGCTTCTGACAGTCACATTTTAGTGGATTCCTTCCGGGTATTGTGAACCTGCTCCGAAGTATACCTGGTGTTAGCACAATTACGTATCTCCCTGGAATCAAACAGGTAAGCAGAAGTTTAGCTTTGTATTAAAGCCTCCGAAGTCGCTTCAGTTCAAGAGCCTCTCCCCCAGTAGAATCGTTTTCACTGTAATGAAGAAAACTTTTCCTTTGTGTAGATACTGTCGTAATTATCGAATGCCTCCTTATTAGCGTCCTTGTGTTGCTCAATGAAAGTGGGGTGGAAGGGGTACCAGATTAGATCTGATCTCGCTCATTTTGGAGCCCTATCAGTATCAGGTTGTAATGCTTACCTAGTGGAGATTGCTGAAAGTTGTAACAATACAGGTCACTACGACTAACGTGATCAAGTCTGTTTCTTTAGACAGATGATGAACTTACAATTAGATACCTTTCCAGCAACTCACCAACTCATTTTAAAAGGATGCTCTTTTCCCTATTAGTTATTGGTGTTCTCAGTCATCCCTACGAAAAGGAGTCGGAGGGCCTTGTTAAAACGGTCTGGGACTTGGGAGTAGGGCCGAGCGGAAATTCGATATCACGAGTTTGGGTCCCTGACATCCTTGGTTCCTCACTGCATTCTACGGCCCATTGACGACATCGTGCTCCCGTAGTATTTATACTATTTATCGAGTGTTGTTATGATTTTTTCATGTTTTCATGTATCAGCTCACAGCCTTCTAGAGACTCTTGAGGCGTTGTGGTCGGGGAATCATTCATTTCGAACCACATTTGTAGGAGAAATTAAAAGTTAATGTAAGGACACTATAAAATGCGCGGTAGCCAACGGGTTAATTGGGCTTGAAGAACTTCTAAATTTCTGATCTTGTTTGTGGCTATGAAGATTAGTGACAATAAACCTTATCTCGAAGGTGTTATCGTAGCTTATAATTTCATTGATTTTGCTCAGCAAATTACAAACTTGCAAAACTATTTCTATAAATAAACTTGGTGCTGGGTGCATTAACGATCTGTCGCCGAGACGCCGGATTTAATTCGAAGAATTTGAATTCTAGAATCGTTCAGTGAAAAAGAAGAGAGAATATGGTGAACTAAGTACCTCATCACAATAGGCTAAACAGATCTTCTGATCGTTCCTTGTTACATGTCAATTAAAAGCACAGGTATTTGTGTCGGGTGATCTTTCACTAACCATTGCGCTTCCCCTTTCCTTGCAAAGCTAAAAGTCCGAAGGATTTAATTCGAAAAATTTGAATTCTAGAATCGTTCAGTGAAAAAGAAGAGAGAATCTTGAGTTTAGGTATGGTGAACTAAGTACCTCATCACAATAGGCTAAACAGATTTTCTGATCGTTCCTTGTTACATGTCAATTAAAAGCTCAGGTATTTGTGTCGGGTGATCTTTCACTAGCCATTGCGCTTCCCCTTTTCTTGCAAAGCTAAAACTCCGAAGGATTTAATTCGAAAAATTTGAATTCTAGAATCGTTCAGTGAAAAAGAAGAGAGAATCTTGAGTTTAGGTATGGTGAACTAAGTACCTCATCACAATAGGCTAAACAGATTTTCTGATCGTTCCTTGTTACATGTCAATTAAAAGC